AAAATCGGATGCAGGGTGAATCCAGCATAAGAGTTAGCCAGTCAGAACTGAAAGGTTTTGAAAATTCTTGATTGTGATTGGTTAATTTTTACGATTTATTATTATGGAAAGTGTGTGCGCGGCTCCTTAGTAGTCTATAAGCTGCTACTGCCCATTATAGACCACGCATAACGTCAATAGTTATAACGTCGATGTTATGTAACTTCGGTGTAAATCGGGCGATGTAAATGTAGTAAAAGACAAAATGATACTTGTATCACTAAATGAAAAGCACCCATAACGATTGGATATGCATGACTTCCACTTACTCAGAAACTCGATTCGAATTTCCTCCAATTTGTCCAGCTCGATTCCGTCTTGAAGAAATAGTCTGCCTCCTTCTTTTTTTGGTCCCTGATCTATCGCTAGAGAAACGAGCATGCTTTGCGTTATCACGCCAGGCTCCGTAGCTTCGCGCAATGCGCTGATCGTATCCGTCTTATGCATCCTATATCATGCCATTTCACACCTCAGGTTTCAGTTTCAAGTTTCAACCACCATGGTGTCAACCATCACCATGGTTTCAACCACCGTGCTGAACTCTGAAGTATAGATTCTCTATATAGAGATCAAACAATGTGGACAGGTGGACTACTTCATGATTGGTTCTGCCATGTTATTGTGAAAGTAGATGTGAGACTCCGCTAGTCCGCTGTATGTTGGAGCATGTTGGAAATTGGAACATGTTGGAGTATGCGACACGAACAAACTTTTTGTCTGATCCCTACCTCTAAAGGATCTCTACGCAAGACCGTCGATGCAAAAAAATGAAATACATTTAAGATTTCGAGGACTGTGAAGTGTTGATACGCAACATTCAGTCCCCGAAATCTAAACTACATTGATTTTTTTATGTTGATGATCTTGCGTTTCGATTTCGGAGCTGAAGTAGAACATATCTGTTTTACATTATGATACATATATTTGACATATTGTATGTGTATTGTAGATTGTAGCCCGCTCGGCTCCTCGCGCGCTGATGCTCGCGTAATCATTTCGACGGTCGACGTGTAACCGCGAGCTTTCCGAGATGTCGCGTACGAGGACGGAGAAGAACGGAAACGGAGCCAAGTACGAGGTTACCGTATGGACACGTGCGATCACCGCGAACTCCGAGTGGCCGGACAAGGTAAACATAACCCTTGAGTTGTGCCATGGTATTACTAGTATTCTATCCTATCCAAAGGAGAAAGGAATCCACGAAGCGGAAATTATTTTTGACTTGTCATTTCTGTACCCTTTCGTTCCTTTTTATCGCAGGAGGAATTTCTCGACGTAATATACTGGGCGAGGCAGGCGATCGGTATTATCGTCGGCATAGGATGGGGCCTTATACCACTAAAGGGTTTTATAGCTTTATTGTTGTAAGTATATAGAGACACCAACTAGACTGTTTGTTCTCTCTTTAATAAATCTTGCGATATATATATGTCTCAAATCACAATGTTACCGAACGCACTGCCATGTGTTTATATTTCAGATTTGTAGTAGTCAATGCAGGCATTACGTATTTATACTTTAGCAATTTCCAACAAATTGACGAGGAAGAGTACGGTGGTATATGGGAATTGACGAAAGAAGGATTCATGACCTCATTCGCTGGATTTCTGGTAAGTGCGACAGGATCAGTTTCTCCTGATAAATCATCTTTTTCCCTTTCTTTTTCTCTCACTCTTCCATCCTGTATTTTATTATTGTTGTTTGTTAATAGGTGACTTGGATTATTATATATTCTGGATTGCATTTTGACTGATATACTCAACAAGATCACAGATAAAGAGCAATAGCTTTTTCATATGGATCATCGCTGCTGCCAAATTCATTATACATATGCAATAGTTTCCTTCACAATAGATACTGTTATATATTGACTTTTTTCGTATACTGTTACATATTATTACATACAAATATGATTTATCTGTGTATAAAGAAAAGACCTTCTTACCTTCTCAAACTATGTATCTTGTATAATTTTAACCACTCTAATCGCAATCGAATTTTCGCAAAATTCGTTTGTTTCGTTCTCGCTTGAGTTAATCTTTACAATTAATCAACATGCAAAACTCGGTAAAAGACGTTTTGTAATGCTATAAAAATACATTTGTATGCTTCATATTTTCCTCTGAATTTTACAATATAAATTTCAACGGCGTTTTCAATGCTTTAGCCTACCATCAAGCGCTTACGTCCTCGCGCTTGTACCTGTTTGTATTTAGCGAGTATTTCCTCACATTGCTTTTTATTTTGATAATGCTGTTGATAGTAATGAAAAACACGGGAAAACAACTCCGGCACTTCGCAATGCGCGTTAAGTAGCGATCGCTCGAGAACATATAGATCGACGGCTTTATCCTCTAGTGTGGAATCCATTCGGGCCAATCCGAAGTCGATCATTACAAACTGTGCCTCGGCTGCAAAGGAATATCATTTTGTGTATGTGTGTGCGTGTGTGTGTGCGCGCGCGCGTGCAAACGCGCGTTTACACGCACATACACACATAGATAGATAGATATCGCATAGAGAAATAACGGAATCTTCTGTAATAGGTATGTACAGAGGATACTAAATTTTTTCAAGTACAATAAATGTTGAAATTCCTTCTCCGTCAGCAATAATTCAATTTACAATTAAATATGATAATTATGATAAAGTTTACCTATCGTTTATACCGCATTCGCGATTTAAAGCGACATTAAAGCGTTTATTGTGCGCGAAGAAAAATGCCATCGCGAAAAGTTTACCTCCTGATTGATTGTTGCAGAGTGACTCGATTGAGTTGTTCTTGAGCAATATATTTGATGTAGTCAAATCGCCATGAATAATATGCATTGAGTGCAACTTAGCTATCACTGTGCCCAGTCCTCGTCCTATGAAATCTAGCAAATGAACCACGTCCATTTTTCCCGAAATGTTCTCATCTATGAAGTTTTTCAGCACTGTGGAGTTCTCTATGTATTCCATGTAAATTCTGCGTCGCTCCAAGTCTACTAAGTATAAAGCCGGCGTTGCTATTCCTTAAGAACAGAACGGGGCGAATTATACCATATATTAAACGAGAATAAATGAAAGTAATGAATGCGAGTCCATATTCTTCCACCGGTCACGTACTTCGATGCGTCGTGCGTTTTTACCTGCGGACTTTGCCCGGATAATGGCGCGAGCCTCGGCTCTGATGCGATCCTTGGTGAGACGAGCGTCTAGCTCCGGATGTCGATAATTCTTTACGAATCTTTCCTTCATCAGGCATGTCCTTTCTAAATAGATTCCCTTATAGAGACGTGCCTCTGCTCCTTGTACTATCAACTCTGAGTCTTTCATTATGATTACTGGAGATGCACCATGCGTCAGTCGAAACGCGTGAATATTGCGTCCGCAAATATTTCACTTCTATTTGAGTTGTTGTAACGAGGTCTAGAACATGAAACAACTGAATTTGAAGGAAGAGGGCTCTTATTCACGCTAGAAGTGAAATTCTTCATTATCACGAAGATTGTAGGCAATGTGCACGCACATGTCCATTAGATGCGCAAATATTACATTCGCGCATTGTATTCGCGAACAGATCGATTTACTCATTGCAATCTACGTAATGAGTCTTCATGATCAAGCGATCCGCGAATAAAGTATTTATCGAAGTCATCAACGAAGCTGCATGCATGCACACTCTTTAAATGCTTTGGAATGGAATCTCACTCTAAAAAGTGAAAATTGAGCCAGTGAAGAACTTGAAGAATTGAGTAGTTCAATTTTCAATCTTTAATGCCCATTTTTATCAATGTAGTTTAACTTTAATCTCGGTTCAACTAACCTTCATCTTTTTCTAGTTTTAGAATTAGAAAAAAAGGAGTAAGTTAGACCGAGATTAAAGCTCCTGAGTAGTCGCTAGTAGTCACCACGGCCATACTGAATCGTGACGTCAGAAGCGAAAAATGACACGTTAACTTTTGTTACGTGTCATTTGTAAATAAAGACAATTTGGATAAAACGAAATGATGAGATCACTTTAAAACACTTATAAAAATGAGGCAAAGCTATCCATATTCTCCTTGACAGTCAATAAATAATCATAAAAGGTGACAAAAGGCATCTTTACAGGTAAAAGTGAAAATAGAATACGCATGCGCATTGAATAAACGCACTTCAAATATCTTTTATCTATTATGACTATTTACTGATTTTCAGGGAGTATAAGAATAGCTTTGTCCCATTTTTACAAGTGTTTTAACGCGATCTCATTACATCGTTTTAATTTGTTTTTATTTACAAATGGCAAGAAATTAATGTCGTTCTCGCTTCTAACGTCACGATTCAATATGGCCGTGACGACAACTCAGGAGCCTTAAAGTTAATTTACATTGGTAAAAACGGATATAAGGGTAAGATTTCACATTTTAGAGTGACAATTCACTTTAAAAGTTTTTAGAGTACATATATCCAAGAAATTAAATGTATCTAAGACATTCCATTGCTGATTTGGGTTAGCGCGTTTTATTTCTGGTCGTATACAAACATATAGAAGGACGAGGCGAATAAGAGATATCGGTCCTTGGGTCATTCTATTCGCTTGTGCGAGGCAAAATGTTAAGGGCGAGGCCACGAGCGAGGGCGAGGGCGAGAGCGAGGGCGGCGAGGAGGTAAGGTACTTGGGAAGAGCGCGGCCGCTAGCGCTAGCGAGGCGAGACGAGGGCGAAACGCAAATCGATCGTTATCCGCCAGCGACCTGCGCGCTAATCGCTATCCCAGCGCTAGTATTCGCCCGTACTTTGTTCCCATCGGTCCGCCACTCGCCTGACTCGCCATCGTTACGAGCTTCCCCATCCGCGGGGGTAGTGCGAGTTGGCGAAAAGAAGAAGACGACGACGACGAGGCGAAGAAAGCATGAGGGACGAGGTGAAGATGGACGCGAATCGGCTGATCGCCGAGGTCTACAAACGGCCGGCGCTCTGGAATCAAAGGCACATCTCCTATCACAATCGCGAGGTGACCAACCGCGTCTGGATGGAGATCGCAGCGATATTCAATCTGCCCAGTACGTGTCATGTAAATACCCCATCCCCGATTGGTACCGCAGGACCGAGCCGCGATAAGTAATCGCTCAATCGCCAGCGACGCAAACGCGCTGCCCTACGCTGCCTAGACGCCAGTCGTCTTTCGCCCATGCGTCGCCCACTCGTGTGACCGTTTCTCTCCTTCGGGGCAAGGATGAATACGTCGCGACCGCGATGATTGTGGCATCGAAATGAGCCTGATGAGCAAGTCGTCAGGTTGAGAAGGATACGGCAACCGCTCATCTCATGAATGACTTATAAATCCTTATAGTTGCCTATCCGACTCGGTCGTCTTGGAGAAACGCGGCGTTAAAAGTTCTTATTTTCATTTTACGCAAATATCAACACGCTCTAAATAAACGGCTAGAATAATGCCTTTCCTATGCCACAAAAAAATCTAGAGAAAGAGAGAGAGAGAGAGAGAGAGAGAGAGAGAGAGAGAGAGAGAGAGAGAGAGAGAGAGAGAGAAAGGATCCATTTGGTGATGTCTGGATCAATCTTCGGTGGTTTCGGCCAAGTTTTTTAAAAAAATTTTTTATCTAGATATTACAATTTCTCATTATATAGTTGCTTTAATACTTGAAGAATTTAATACTTGAAGTCTTTCAACGCAATTTTGACGTTTCATGCTCCACTCTGTCGAATAAGCAAATACAGAAGACTATCGCAGCGCATTTCTTTTCCGACATCAAAGCGTAATGTTAGGCTAATATTCTGAATTATAACATTCTATCGCCATACGTCTCAAAATGTAATATTATTCTCTCCGGCTCGTCGATCTATCTCGCCATCATCTAAATTCAAAGACACGGAGCGGATTTCCTTACTGGGAAACGCAGGTTTCAAAGGAAAGATTTCAAAACGAAATTTCTGCACCTTGTGAAGTTCGTCGTAGATGCAAATTTAAAATTTTATATTTGGTTTAATGAATTACTTTTATTCTAGAAGTTTATGCTGTTTTATGTTATTCTAAAGTACAATTCCTGCTATTCTAAAATATAGTCCTCGAGATCCGCAAGTTTCATATATGTTTATTTGTGACGTGTTGACATAACGTGCATCATCCTAACCTCATTCCACGCGCGAACCGGCGCGAAGTACGCCACGAACGATTACGTCGATGCTGCACGACACACCGTGGGGACATCTTACCTGAGGTATTCCAGTGCGCGACCGAAACGAGATTTCTTATCGTGCTTCGATCGTAATATTAATTGAACCGTAAACGGTATATAAGGGTATAACTAACGTGAATATACGCACACGCACAAATCATTCGGTCGAGGACGCATGCGCAGAATAACGCAAGGATGCATCGATGCGCGCGCGCGAGTGCAATCAATACGCGGTCTCTTTGTATATCATAGATCTTATCATTTATAGTTCTTATTTATGGATTCGTAAATAAGAACTAATTGCTCGGTGAGTAAGCTGCATTCCGAAACTAATCGAAAAGAAAGTGTTGCAACCTTTTATTGTTGCAACCATGAATAAACATACCGTTGTATTATCAAGGTTGCGGTCCACTTGCTTCTTCCAAATGCTCTGAACGATACGCTCTAAATGATATGCTTGGATTGGTCCATTATTGTTTCGATGCTACAATCGCTACGTGAACCCTCCAGCCAATTCACCGAGGCAGTTGGAATGGAAGTGGCAATGGAAACGATGACGTATTGATAACATATGAGAATTACTGGGAGCATTGCAAAGGTGCGTTCGGGAAGCTCACTGTCACGCGGTAAACACAAATGCTGCAAACTCGATCATCTGTTCGGAGAGCTAAGATAACGTTAGCGACTACCAGCTCCATGCACTAGCGCAGCATTAACGCTTTTTATCTCAATTAATACTAGGGGTGCGTTCGAGGAGACGCTATCAGCGCTATGAATGCAAACGCTACCAACGCTGTTCATAGAATCAACGCGATAATGTTAGCAAGCTCCGTGAACAAGCCGCAAGCGTAGTGTCAATAGCATTCACAGGGCGGTATTTACAGTTCTTATTTTAAAATCGTCTTAAGATGCTAATACAGCCTTCTGATTGGCTTATAGCATCTTAATACCGTATTTAAGAGAAGATGCTGGAATGACGGCCGAACTTGATGTCGATAAAACAGATTTTTAATTCCAAATAAAACATTAAGTACCCAGACAGCACGAAATATTAAAAGATAACGAAAAGAGATTTTTCTTAAGTTGTTTTTTCGACAAAGCGAAAAGATGTCTGAAAGATGACGAAAAGACATCGTTTTCAGATTGTTTTTTGAGCAAGACGAAAAGATAACTTAAAAAAAAAACATCTTTTCATCATCTTTCTATGGTTGTCATTTTCGCAAAGCAAAAAGTCAACTGAAAGATATCTTTTCGTATTGCCGAAAAGACAATATGAAAAAGATTTTCTGTTATTTTGGTACTTTTTATCACTCATTCGCGAGCAATACGCCGGATCGCCACCAGACGGACATCCGGTATCCTCTGGATGACTTTGGAGTTAAAAAATCTGTATTACTGACATTAAATAAGTTCGGCCGTCGCTCCAGAATCCTTTTAAAGTGCTGACGAATTATTGCATATGCTGTTAACATGTTGCGTCTACAACATCACTGAATAAGCCTTCGCTTGTCTATTTACAGAACCGATGCTGAAGGCGAAGTGGAAAGGCCTGCGTGACACATTCCGTGCTGAGTTGAAGAAGGATCAGGTGTACCGCAAGAGCAAGTTTCACCGGAACCGGCCGGTATGGATACACTTCAAAAGCTTGCAGTTCCTCAAGGAGCAAATGCTGCCACGGCCGCCGATCTGGGAGCGCAGCATCCCGAAAACGGAAGACGAGCTGCAACCAAGCGAGGGCGAAGGCGAGAACGGCGTGCTGACTCCAAACATCGACGGCGGCCTCGACGATCGAGACGCGATCGCCGATCATCTGTTGTCGATGGCCGGCGACGGTAATATCGGTCATCATCATCATCATCATCGTCACCATCATCAGCATAAGCTGGACGGTGACGGTCGACGTGGCACAGTGGACGTGAAGCGCGAACCCGAAGAGAGCTTCGACAACTTGGAGTTCCAAAACGTCACCGACAACTTGGCGGAAAACGAGATGATGCTGCAGAATATTTCGCCTGAGCAGGTTCTGATGAGTGACAGTGACACCGGTCTCGCCGGCGTTGATCCGCTCGAGGGCAGCTGTCGTTTCGATGACAATTACTACTTCCTGATGAGCCTATTACCGCATATCCGTACCCTGCCGGCCGACCGCAGGATGCTGCTCAGGATGCAGATGCAAGAGCTCGTTTACAAGGAGGTCTACAATAAGACCGACGACGAGTCAACGGCGAAGACTTAACTGACGTCGCTGCGCTAAGTTAACTCTTGAGACTCCGTTTTCTCGCTGCAATGATATCGTCGCGATGTTAAAACCGAGGTCATGTGGATTTTTCTTAATGCTCATGTATATGCCGATATCAAAGTTAAATTGACTTTTTTTTACACGTTATCATTTAGTGCCATAATTTAGAACTGCGTTCAAAAACTTTGCCCGAATATATCTAGGTATCATTTTATCCTTCTTTTCAGTGAACAACAAGGATAAAATGATATACCCTGAATTCCTGAACGCATCCCGTGTGACTGTGCGGAAGAAGCGGGAGCCTCCAAGTATTTCGTAATTATTTTTTAAGGAATAAAGAGTACTCATTTTATGTAAATATACAGGATATTTTAGAAACACCTGATCAAATTTTAGAACGTATAATCACAATACGGATGGTGAAACAAAAAGTAATATGAACATGAGTCCGCATTGACAGCTCTAAAGCGCCATATTGCACTAAGCAGACTAAGAAATGATAAAGATGTCTGCAGTTTTGAAACTCTATATGGGAAACGATTACTCTCATTCTTGTATACATTTTTTGTTAAACAACATTATTATTAAAAAATTATGCTGCAAACAAAAAACATTTTCGAAAGGAAGAATTTCCGAATTCATGTTCATATGATTTCCATCCTTATTGAATAGAATACGCTCTTAAAACTTGGCCACGTGTTTTTGTAACATCCAGTAAAAATGAAAAATCTTTATTCCGCAAAGAGCGGCCACAAAATCTTTAGAAGAAGATGAAATAGTTTACAATTTATTTTTTTTCCACGCAACACCGAATCGACACGAGCTACCGAAACCATTGAAGATACTCGTGAAAAATTTCGATAAAAATTCGATAAAAAACTCACATGATTATCAAGGGGTTCAAGCTTTAATTTGAGCTTTGGTTCATCTCAATATGATGATTTTTCGTCGAATTATGGCTATTAAAAAATATTAAAAGTTTGTGCTAAAATTTAGTGGCCCGTTTTTTTTTGCGGGTGCGTGTGTGCGTGCGTGGTATATACGAGTATAGGATCAGAAATTACCGTGTCATCTCTCGTTGACAGGTAGAGCGGATTTAACTGAATATAAAAATTCTTTTTACTGTTTTACAAGTTTCTCAATAACTAAGAAATTAACTAATATAAAGATTTGCAAGCAAGCGTGCATTCGCAACAACTTTTCTACTTAGCTTAATCCACTCTATCTATTCACAAAAGTTGGCAGTTTAATTACTAGACACCCCGTATACAATTGGATGTATAGGCTACAACTGTAGGTAGGTCATCAAGCGGATTGCCCCGGGTGCTAAGCGCGCACCCGCACGTTCGCTACCACGACGCGGCGACACGGTTGAGCGACACTGTGCTCTCTCTCTTTCGTCTCTCGTATTAGCAGTGACGCACACCTGTGTGTACCACTGTGCGCCTGTCGCTGGTCGCAGTCAGTGCGCGTTCATCAGCGTCCTTGCGGCGTTTCACGTATAGGTATCATACCACTACCGATTGGTGCTAGTGCACGGTAATTTCGCGCAGAGTGCGCATGCGCCCCTCGTTGTCGTCGATCAGTCGGTGTGGCTCCACAATCGTACGTTCCACTTCCTCGAGCTCCACGTCTCCGTAGCTTTCGCGTCGTGACTCGCGACTCCGCGTCCGCGTCTATGCTTTCAGTTCGCCGCCGATCGCACACCGTTATCTCGGTCGCGCGCTTTTCGGTTGATCGGTCTTTTCCCTCGTTATTATCGCCCGGATAGGCGTCGCGTTCTGTGTTCGCGACACGTTGTCGCGCGAGCACAGGTGTGCTGATTCAGCGGACAAACGGGATACACATTGCTGCTCTACGAACGGTGGATGTACACGATCGTACCTGTCTGCCGCTGGCTGTGTCGCACTGCAATCGACGCGCGAGGTGAGTCGAGTTTCAGAAATCTAACTTCCGTGCGCTTCCGCGTCGGAAAGTCTGCTCTCTTGAGGATACCATGAAGTGGTACCACCGCGTGTGAACTCTCTGAGTTTCCGGGGAATTCCTCGTCAGTTCGAAGTTGACATTTCTCTCGGCGAGAAAATGTCGACCGCCGGTCTTTGGCACAACGTATCTTTTATTGAAGAAAATATTCGCTATTTACCTTTTAATTAATTGACAGTTCTCTCGGAGGTTTAGATTCATCAATTCAAAAGGAAAAGACATTCCATTTTCAATCAAGAAGGATGATATCGCCTTTCATTGATACCTGAATATTATTATTCAACTCCGAATTGATCGAAAAGCGCTATATATCCTTTATCTATTTCTACCAATATGGATTAACTGTAATATTTCGGTTTAACTTACTTTTTATCTTTTTCTCTAATTTTTAGATTCAGAAAAAGATCACAGGTAAGTTAAACTAAGATTAAAATTGATATTGATCCGTATTGGTAGAAATAGCCATTATACATCTGAAAGAAACGAACATAAATGCGTGATTGTATGCGAATAGACGTTCAGCGCACCGCTCGCACCGTTACTGTAAATTCCATTGTACAGACCTTCGATCGTCCTCGTAACCAATCACTTTTTGTAACATATGTATACATATGTAGTTGTTGATTTCGACGTATGTGCAATACGAGCATGTCCAGTTTGAAAATAGAACGTGTTCGCTCGGCTCTAGTCTAGCGTCTAATCCTTTAACCGTGCTCATTTCTTGATTGTGAAATTGCTTGAAAAGAAAACCGAATGTGTGTTAAAAACACATTATTTTATTAAAATAAAAAGGACTTTTTTATTACATCACTTATTTTATTGCATTACTATTGCGTCACTTCGCTATTAGGAGTAATTAATCATCTATGAGTGTGAAATCAAAGAGACCTCGAAATTTATTGTCTTTAATCGGCAAAAATTAAACCTAGAGCTAAGACACAATGAAAAGCACAAGCAATAGAAACAGGAAATAACAGATTTCAACTTATCAGAAACCGTGCATTCCGATATACATTGTTTCTACTGTGACTACGTTTACACGGCTCGATTTACACCGAAGTTATAACATCGATGTTATGAAACTAGCCAATCATAGCTGTTCCTCTGAAGAATGAAATGATTCTGATTGGTCAGTTTCCTAACATTGATGTTATAACTTCGGCGTAAATCGATCTATATAAACGTAATCTATGATAGGTTGAAATCTCATATTCCCTGTTCCTGTTGCCTGTGCTTTTCAATTGTGCATTAAGCTTTATTCTTACACACAATTCTTGGATGTCAGAAGTGTGTACCAAACAAAGCACTTCATCTTATGATGAATAATAAATAATATAAGAAACTGAAATTGTGACATAAAAATATAAAAGCGAGTCGAAATGACTTCAGAAGTAATATGAGAACCCTTCAGGAACGATCGATCTAAAGAAGATTGAAAAATGATAGAAGATTAAAATCAGATTTATGGACGAATGTTTTGCTTCAGGTAAGAACGGTAACAGAATATAAATGGGGCGGAATACTGGCAATATCCATGTGGCGTTAGAGAACGAAGATTAGATATCGGAGACTCGTGCACGTTAAATATATCCTCCGCTCTCTGTTCACACTTTCGAGTCTGCTCTAAATAGTCGGACTGGAATCTCAGCTCGGTGATGATTCGAAACGCATCTACGCATTCCGTTCCAAGTGACAAGTGCTTGGAGATCGCTGGTCATGTTCCGGCGCGCTTAGCAAGCAACATTGTAAGCAGCCTAATGGCTCCTGCAGACAGGACGCGGTAACGTTTGCCACACGGCGGAAGTCAGCACAGTAGCCAATCATTCTTTCGCTTTTATAGAAAAGCGATATATTAATTAGCTCTCACACCAATTTCCGCCGCGCGGCAAGCGTTGCTGCGTTCTGTGTGCGGGAGCCATAAGCGTGACACATAAAGGAATCTCCACATTCACTCCAGCCATTATTGCAACTTTATTTTCAAATTATGTTCAATCTTAATTCTTCTTCGACTCAAAGGATTTCAGCTTCAAACGAGGCCCAGTCCAAGCACTCAAAAGGAGAGGACTTTATAGTTCACGGGACAAGAGGTCCACTCAGCAAATTCAAAATTTTGTTCAAATAACTTTACTTTTGCGATGCCGCAAGTAAAAAGTTTTGGATTTATTTAACTTCAATGCGGCAACGAAGAAATAATTCAGAAGCACCTAGAATCTAGTTCCTTCTAAAAAATGCCGCGCTACCACACGTGACATTTGTCGCGTCCATCAGTAGGCACCTTAATAAGAGCTAAAACGAACACGATTGCATTCAGGACTCAAACTTCCATATAAATTTTTTAACCGCAAATATTGATGAATTAGTTCCTCATTTTTAGGGCACACATCTCAGAGAGCGTGAAAACCAGTTAAAATTCGTGATTAAAAAATTTATATATAGGAGTTGATGACCCTGATTGCATTCGTCTATACTTGACCGAACGAATACACTGGCTCTATGAACAGCGTTGGTAGCGTTTACATTTATAGCGCTGATAGCGTCTCCCCGAACGCACCCATTATATTGTGACCTTCCTACTAGTTTTCTCACGCTTTTTCCCTACTCTGCGTCCCTAGAATACGTACGTTTAATAGAACTATAGTTATCACCGTCGGGATCTCGCCGTCCATACCTATACAAGCAGGCAATGTCTGTATTTACTTCATTAGAATAATGACCGCGAGTCCCACAAACTGGTTCTACAATAATCATATCGCAGCGTCGCAAGCGTGTCGCAAGCGTTGCAGTCTGATCAACATCAGACTTGACTTTGATTAGATTGCAACGCTTGCGATGTTGCGATGTGATTATTGTAGAAATTGGACCGCAACGCTTGTGATGCTGCGATGCGATAATGTAAAACTAGCTTTACTAGTCGATGTCAGAAAGCAATATGCAAGAAGGATAGTGAAGGGAAAGGCAGATTTCCTTATTAAATTGAACTGTCATGTACTTTCTGCAATCCACGCAGATTGTGTTACTTTGCGTTGAAATTTGTAGTCAAGAGAAATTTGGTAATTTGACTCTTTAAACTTCTATCTTATTTGAGCTGTTTTTATGTAAATTTAGTTTCGCATATTATTCCATTGACGCGAGGTTTGGTGGAAAATCTCGCTGTTGTTCCATAGCTGTATTATCTCATTAACATATAATCGATAACATATTGGAATATGATACGTATTGCTTTTATCATACAATTTTGCCAGGAACTGACATGACAACTGATGAATGCAATGAATGCAGCAAAATGCAGAATAAGACGCACTTCAAACTCAGTCGTGCGCGTAATTTGCTTCTGTATCTCTCATTATCTTGAATAAAAGATAGCAACGTAGCAACGTTCTCTTTCTCAAGATCGATTTAAATTATGTGAAAAACATTGCGCATACATATACATATACAAGTTTACCTCGACCCCGACTTCTCAGTTGAAGAATGAGGGAAGAGAAGTTCTCGCGGGCAACGACTCGACTCGACTTGCATCCCTCTTTCTCTTTCTTTGCCGTCTGCCACACCGCTTGTTACTTTCAAAGCGAACGCGCTCCTGGCATACCTTAAGTCTGACTCATAAACGTGGTGTTTCAGCAACAACGGGGCAGGCGACAACGACGGCGACGGTGGCGGCGGATGAGAGTGTCCTTTTGTGGTGCATGCATCACGTTGCGACGCGCGGATACTCCGACGGGGCCCATTGCGGGGTCCAAGGATGGTGAGCTCTCGCACATCCACTGTGAACGTCACGTCCACCGTTAATGGTAGCGGCGTAGCCGACGGCGCAGGGAACACGTCGCGCGAGGACGAGAGACGCGCGACGAACGGCGTCGGCGTCTCTCAAGAGTGGAATCAGAGCGGGCCGCCCTCGCTCTCGACGTCGGTCGATCTGCATAATTTCGACAGTTCGACTCTCACAGATTCAGGACGGTATTCCGCAAGCCCGGACGATCACCAGGCCACATCGGTTAATGCTGCCACAATCAAAATCGGCTGTCACGACGAAGAGGAGAGCTACGAAGGTTTTGGTTCCGTTGAAGGCGATTCGGTGGATGATGGACCGGAGTCGCCGGGCGGTAGCAGTTCCACGCCCTCGCCAACCGGTACCAACTTGCACAGGTAAGTTCGACGATATCTTTGATAGAGGAAGAACATTGCTGTGTGGAATATATCGCAACTCGAGATTACTTTGCGGGATGATTAACTTTATTTTATACTCATTTTTTTGCATACGAGAGTTTAATAGGATTAACAGCACTCTGTTCGATATTTCATCAAGTAATTTTACATAATACATATATGTTGCATTATATAACATATATATATATACATATATATCCAAATAATATTCAAGAGGTTTTAGACGTCATTTGGGCACCTTGGATAATGTTAATAATTTTGATTTTTTTCTGCTCACTTCATTGAAGCAGCAATTTTTATTTTGGACCATAATAAAAATTTATACAAAATGGACTTTTAGCTCATTCAATTTCGAACAAATTAAAAAAAAACTTTAAAATTGGAAAAGAATTCAAGCATCAGCCAAATTTTGTCCACAAAGGTGTTTTTCCGCCTACCTGTCCCGATGCGGCGGTATATATATATATATTGATTTAAAATTTTTCAAAATATCTGGTGTTACTTTTTTGAGATACATATTAAACCATTTTAGAACTACTTTAAGAATACCCGATCTTGCATATTAAAAGATATAAAAAAAATTATTATTAGACTTTATAATCTGAAATATTTAGTTAAGAAAATGAGTTATTATTTCTAAAATTTTGACCTTTTGTAAAATTTTTCTTGGTTTCAAATTATTCATATTTCCTAATTTATATCGTATATTTAACTTGAATAGTCGGAAATCGAGTTGCAATAACGCATATTCGAGCATCAGAATATCCGGAATCACTGTACTATTCTAATCTAGACAAGAAAAGAGCAAAAGCAAACTGGGCCTTCTATTATGTCAATTGCTTCCTGCTGTTCTTTGCTCGATATACGTAACATCAGTTGCGGAATATAGCATTATTTCCGAAACTGATACATGGCACAGATACTAAAAACGTTAAAATGCAATATAACTCGAAGCATGCCCGTGCATTTTTACGCTGGGATGAATTTACATGAGAGCAACATGCTGCATACAATGTCTATCATCTTGGAACAATACCGACTGATTTGCCATCTGTAGGCGCAAGTCGCACACGAATTACATAATAATGGAAATGTATTTTCAAGAGTCGCTTTGCAACACTCGTGTGTTGCGTGTTCTCGATAGTGATTTCCTGTTAATTTTTTTGCGTAAAAGTCAATACGCACGACCTAATAATCCTAATATACAATGCGAAACTTCTTTTAATTGACGCGCGCGCGTGTACGTTTTCTCTGCCATTTTAAAATATACTACATAAGGAAAAAAACTGCTTATTATGTAAAGTTAATACGAGATAAAGACGTATATAGACAATTGGTTTTGTTCTCAGAATGTTGGCGCAATCACAATATCTGGAAAACTAATGAAAAAAAATTGTTACAATATCTCATAATATTTTTAAGAACTTTTCATATTTTATATCTATGAAAAATTCTGAAAAAAATACCTTGAACTTTTTTAGATTCTATTCTACATAAGGTATAAAATGAAAAATTTTCAAATATTTCAGAATTTAATATATAAAGAATTCTAGAAACAATCTCAGCATTTCTGAAAAATGTTTTAAAAATGTCTTTTCGTAGAAAAAGAATGAAATGATTTTCTTTTTGAATCGCGAGCTTAGTTATACAATAAAACAATTTTTGCTGACTTTGCAGAACGGGCTCGTGCAATCATCATCACTATGTTTTCTGACTTTGTAGAAATCTGAGGAGTCCGAATTCCACCATTGGAAAACATTCCTGGTTGCGTACGTCGCTGCGAAGAACGCCTCCTTGGTAAGAAAAGGACACTAATCATCTTTGTAACGAGCGTTGCTTGCTTTTGTATGCATGTAAGTACATACGCGCGCGTAATTTCGCGTCTGAGAAATTTTCCGCCATTCGTTCGCAGTGCCGTAAGAAACGCGACGATACGTCGTCGCGACGAAACAATGACGATTCCGCTGCGCCGTCTTGGCGTGTGAAAAAGATCCTCGTGGGAAAGTGACTGACTTAACGACATGTTAAATAACGTCATTAATGCAATAACCAAGAAATCTTAAATTTCTTGAAAAGCGCCTGTGTATCTTTGGCCTTCTATCTATACGAAATATGACTGAAGCGAATTCATACAGAACGTTGTTACCTAAACAATCGCTTTCTGTTCCCTGTTCTATTCGCTTGAAACAGATAAAATGATTCAATTCTTACTTTTGATATACACTGTTAATAGCAGAAAAATATAAATACCTATTAATTTTGTTTCTATAATTTTAATTTGCCGAAGCACGTATAAGACGTTGAGTCGTACAATACTTACAAGTAACTCATTAAGCTGCCTACGATTTGGCTCATATAATATTTTTTACAATTTTTTATTTAGTATTCGCAATGTATTATAGAATCACAAAGAAAGAATTTTGTGTCGAATGAATTCCAAGTTATGGTAAATCGTTTTTCCAAGTTATCGTGAATTTTTTTTCTTCAACGTGTTCACATAATTTATGAGGTTTACATATTTTTTGAGGATTTACAGATTTTTTTATTTTCACTGAAAAAAAAAAGATTCTCCATAACTTAGAATCATTCAGCATAAAATTCCTTTTTTACTTTATTTTCTTGCAAACATTAAATAACAAACACTACATGAATCAGAGGCGATCCAATAAGAAACGTTACTTGTTAAGAGAGATTACTTTTCTGATATAATGAATGCAAAAATCTAAATTTGTAATACACATACCTAAAATTTATGTGTTACATATACTTTTAAATTCGATAGCACACGGCAAACAGATTGCTACTTAGTAAGACTGACGATGTAATATTTATAATATATATTTATCGTAATTCTACTCGCGGTTCCCTTTATAGAAACCACGAGCTTTGATCGTAAGCCAAAAGGCTTACGATCAAAGCTACATTTGGTCGTGTTTGGCAGCGCAGGAGATAGAAACGCAATATAACTCGCTCGAACGAGTAATCTCTAAATATAAGCATCTTATAATAAAACGTAAATAACACGTGTACGAATGTTAAGGAAAATATTTTCATGCTTGCAGTTCGGGCAGAAAGAGGCTCAGTTCTAACGCTTTAGCAAGGTAAGAAAACACTATGCAATATTTTATTGATGTATAGATTATCTGTTTTTTAATTAACTGGCAGTTTCACCGCCTGTTCCGAATGTGATCTCTTTTTTGCTATCTCTCGCGCTTTTTCCCAATTTACCCGCGCGTGGAAATGCGCGAAAGGAAATGAATATATCTCGGACAAAAGAGTTCGCTGGCCGTAGGATGATGCCTCTGCATCAAGGTTAATAATTCCCGAAGTCGCTCCTTTCACGGAACTTGAATCGACGAACTTTCTAAAACGTGGGCGTGCTTCTGTTACGTTACGTTCCATACCCACGATTTACCTCGATATTAGTGTTTCCTTCCACGCTACCATCGTTACGTTCGACTATACATACGTGTCTTATCCGTCTGTCAAAACGAGCAGGGACGAGGAAACATTGGTCGCTCACGTATGACTAGAGTTTTCTTTAGAGAAATTCTAGTACGACTACACATTGTCGGTTTGATGGCACACAATTGAAAAATAATTTTTTTGTCATTTTTATAAACTAAAATTTCTATTTTTTAATTGACAGAACTTTCACTAAATATATCTTTTGCTACACTTTTATTATGTACATATAATTTTTGAGATAGCTTTCTGAATTGTCGTGTGTAATATTAATATTTCCATATTACAACAACAATTTCGAAATTTCCTTTTCAAAGTCAATGATTCTTTCATGTGAATATTAAAAGAGATCTTTCTTCTATAATATTTGTAGCCAACTTTATCGCAGTGGCAGCTTCAACAGCTCTGGAATGGGTTCGAATTACGATGCTACGGACGATGTGTATAGCGATGTATCCTTGGAGGACGTCATGGATCTCAGCCATAAAGTAAGACGATTTTAACGTAGTTTTTTTATTCATCTTTAAATCAGAAGCTTACTCGAACGTGAATGAATTTTCTATTTTTCATCGCTTCGAACCATGAATTATTCTCATTTTGAAAAAGCGAAAAAGTGCGATGCGACGCGAACAGAGTCGCAACAAAACGCGAAGATTCGTTTGTCAACTTTCGCGTGGAACCGCCAGTTCCTCGTTTAACCTGATTTGGAAAGTCGTTCGCGGTCAAAATTACCTCGGTAGAAGTCACTTCGTTCCTACGTACCGAGGATGCGAAGTGTCCCTCCCAAGTCCTGAGAAATTCTAGGATCTATTGCCAATGTGCGCTACGCGTTCTCGTCAACCTTACAGTGGCGTACATCGTAATTCTGAGAGGGACCATCCACATCCCGCGGTACAAGCTCCTCATCCCGTTCCTTATCCATTCTATCCACCTTCCGCGTATCCACGTTGTCCTTCGTACGATCCCTACGCAGCATATCATTATCCGAGCTCATTTTATCCGCCACCCTATTGCGTTCACGACGTTACTAAGGAAGAGCCCGTGGTTTGGTCTTGGTCTACTGTTGTTCTCCTCTTTCTTCTTGCGATCGGTTTGCTCGTGATCGTTTACCGTAGCTTCTCTCGCGAGTCTCGTCGAAAGATCGCTGCTTGGCTGCGCTCGCCCAGACTCGCTTCACAGGTAAATCCCACTTCCACCAATTTTATTTCGCAGCTGTCTCACGGAATTAATTCGGATTGAAAGACATTTATGAATTTAGACTGTTCATAATCAGTTTAATTATTCTATATAATTGTTCCATCTGTTACAACTGTGAATAACAGGGGCGGATGCTGCCTTCTTTGGTATTTAGAATTAGTTAAAGTTATACAGATCTATCATACAATTTTTAAGAGAGACAATTACTTCCGAATAACTTCGCTGGCGACATACGAAAAAGTCGATTTATTTCCGACCTGTCCAAAACTCAGCTCGTAAGCCGAAATGCTTTCATCTGTCGTCTCGATAGAGCGAGACGAAGCGTAAATAACACGTTGCTGCAATATTGCTGCAAACTTCTGTATGGGAATATACTTTTATATAATATCATATTCTATAGTAAGAAACAAGGATGCCTGAAGAAGATATAGCATCATTATGGGTGTCACAGACATGAGAAAATGATAGACAAAATAAAAAACGGCTATTATAATTGCAAATTGAGAGACGGGCTTCCTCAGCTCCTTCACTCTACAACGCTTGGACAGGCCTGATTTATTTCAATACTGTGAGAATGAGTCATGAAGTCTTTTTTTCTGACATTATTATCTAACGACTGCAGTGACGAATCCAGGAATTTTAAGTTTCACTGATAATTTCCATGACAACACGAATCCGCCCCTGCAAACAAAGAAAAAAATGAAACGATCTTGCTAACACTTTTACCGATATTCATGAGACCATTCCACAGAGAACTACAGATGTAGATAAAGCTTAATGCACAATTGAAAAGTGCAAGCAATAAGAACAGAGAATAAGAGATTTCAACCTATCAAAAATCATCGTGTATATCAGAACATTATTCCCTCTTCCTATTGTCTTGTGTTTTTCATTGTGTTTCAGGCTTAACACGTAATATTGTATGTATCTTTTTCGCCCTTATTGCGCAGGGCTATAATCGCGGGGACTGAGTTCCGTAAAGAGATCGAGTCCCCTGCATGGGGAACCTGCCTTGATTTTGTCCATCTTTCTCGACTCGTGCAGACCGCGAGGACACAAGACGCGCCTCAGAATTATCCCGCGGAATTTCTCCGGTGTACCGAGCGGAACGGAGATTACGGTCCTTCGTGCGTGGATCCCGGCGAATCTTCTTCATTAACAGATACGGTAACGAAGACATTCGTAAATCCCGTCTACGAGAACAACGATCGAGACGAAAGCAAAATTGAAGACAACGAGACTGTGCAAAACGAGTTCGTGGCAGATACTGAAAGATTTCGATCAATCCATCGGTATTTCCATTTCGAAAAGTGATTGCCAATAACAAGGAACACACAGAAAGCAAAGTAAAATCTGAAGTATACAAAAGACTCCAATACAATTAAGAGAAACGACTAAAAAATTACGTTTTTTTAGTTATGTTACTTTTGAAATAAGAGAGCGATGTCATAATATTTTTAAGAATTTTTTACATTTTTAACGAAGATTAGAAAAATATTTTAAACTTCTTCGGGTTTTTATAAGTTTTCTTCGAAAATTATAAAATGAGAAACTTATTGTTAGACTGATCCAAAATTTACACACCTATAAAGAATGATATAAACCTAAAAAAGATATAAACTTTCTCAGAATTTCTTTGTTCCAATTTATAAAAAATCTAAAATTTATATTATATAGAATTTTTAAAAAATTATATGAATTAAAAAAAAATTTTCACCAGGGAATTATAACACACAGATATAATGTTTTTAATGAATCCTTTATATTAAATTTGATAAATAATTAATATTTATAATAATAATAAACTTTTTATGTCATAATTATAATACGCAGCTAACACAGTAAAGATAAAATGAAACAAATAAATTCCAACACCAAAAGTTAATTCAGAGAAAGTTGTAGAAAGTTAGTGAAAAATGTATATCATTAAATGGAAGCAAGTCGAGGGCTCGTGTTAATCGTTGGGTTTGTATTATCGCGAATAAACGTAGCGACTATTCCCGCGCGTTTGATCTGATCTCATTGAAATTATACACCGATACGATATGCCAATTCCCGACTAATTCTAAGGCGTGATGCATAGCTCCGCTACACGCGAAGCCTTATACACGTTACAGATAATTACGTACGAATAGAATATATATGCCTATCAGGATGTTGTATGTACGTACAATGGTGACGTTGTCGCGATGGATCGTCAATTAAATTGGCAAGTTCGCGTGTGTGCCCACGTGAAACGGATCGTAGCGAGAAATACGTGTGTATTCGTGTGTATACGTCCGCCTGAGTAATTTACGTATCCATGTACGTATGTACAACGTTGCGGCACGACGGGACTCAATCTAGGTTGATGGAAGAAGTAACTTTGTCGCAAGGCTTGATGAAATTTCAGCGCATAGAAACGTGAGCCGCAAATCATTCACATTTAACGGCGTTCAACATCGCGAGTTCCTCACGAACAAGTCCGCTTCAGTCGCAACGCGACAAATAGCTTCGCGTAAGCTCCGGTTTAGAATAGGTCAGGGATGGGAAAGTTACTATGTAAAAGTAGTTAGTTATCGTTACAATTACTAAAAAAGTTTTTAGTTACTTTCTTCTTTCATCAGAATTGTCAGCAAAATATCATGAGTGATATCGATACCATTAGCGCTGCGTTCAAAAACGTTACTCGAGTGCCTCCATACATCGTTTTATCCTTGCTTGTTGTTCACTTATATTAAACAAGGATATAACACGGAGTCACCAGAGTAATGCAACTTAGGACAATCAAAGAAAAAGACTGGTTTACATTTACATATATACAAATATTATATTAAAAAAAAAGAAAATTGTATGGCAAAGACGTTTCTGTTGAAAGTAGTATAAACACATATAAATATGAAATTACATAGCACACATATACTATAATTTTTTTTATAAAAAAATTCTTTATTTTTTATTTGGCTAAAAGTTGCAAATAAATTTTAGCATTAATCCAAAATGTTAATAAAAATTATTAATTTTTAACAAAGAATTTGATATTTAATTGTATCATCGTGTAAATTCCCTCTCTGTTACTACGAAACCACTAATGTTGAACATTCGTTCAACAGAAGCACTACTTGGGAGTGCCGTGTTATATTTAATGAAGAATTTCTTTTTCTGTCATTTAACATGTCAACATTGGAACTATTAGATTTTAAAAAAAACGGTACAATTTTTCTTGTAAAGATTCGATTTCTTTTGTTCGTTGGTTAAAATGAAAAAAAATCATCCTAATCGCTATAAATTCTTCATTAACAGGGGAACTTTCACTTATAACATAGTATTTCCCTAGTTTTGCGTATACGTTTCTTTTCAAGAATAGAGGCATTAGCTTCAGCATTAACAATGAATATAAACGCAGCCATAATCAATATAAGTTATGGTCTATTTGATGCTACAAATGTTTTAAAGCAGCCTCTAATTGATCAATTAGTAAATTTCTTTCTTCTGATTGATCAATTAAATGTTTCGAAGCATTTGTAGCATGTCAAGTGGACCACACACTAAATTGACAAATAAGTTTGAAATATATAAATTAATTATTAAATTAGTTACTAATTACTTAAAAAATGTAACTAAGTTAAATTACAATTACTGATGAAAAGAAAGAGAGTAACAAAGTTAAGTTACTGAAAAAAAGTAACTCTGACTGTAACTTCGTTAAAAGTTGACGAGTTACTTCCCATCCCTGGAACAGATGCAGTACGCTTTCAGTCTTTTGCTCTAAGCTTTAAGTTGTGACGTTAATCTCCTCGTAAGATCTAAACTTTACAGTTGAGATTTGTAGCGGAATTCTGTAACTCATTATGTATTCATAACGACAGTTGCGCAGGTTTTTTACTATATAAATATAAAATATCTGCGCAACTATATCGTTATGAGCACATGACGATTGTACAACGAGTTACAGAATACAAGGACTTAAGAATCTTTTGTTTTTGAATATATCTAATAAAGGTTATTTTTTTTTTCAAGAATTTTTTGAAAAACCTGTGCGACGGATTTTTATAGGCTTGATTTATTCATATATTCATATATTAAATTCTCTTCAGTATAGATTTGATATCATTAATCTGAAAGTTATTAACGTTTAAACGAGGCACTACAAAAAATGCATGATATCTCGACTTTAGGTGATCTGAAATCTTAAGAAATTTTTATTTATGAATAATTAAAAGACAGATGTAAGCTTTGAAAAAGGAAAAAAAAGTGAAAAATAACAAAAAGACATTAATTTAATCCTAGAATGCTGTCGATATATAAATAAATATGTATGTATATACAAGTAAGCGAGATCTTTGAGCGCTAATTGAGTTATGCCTTCAGTAGTCATTAGGAGGTTCAATACCATGTTAAAAGCTAGGACAAGCAGAGATTTAAAAATTCTGTCCATTTGAAACGGTTGGCATTCCAAGAATGGATTTGGACACGGAGAAAACCCGCGAAACGGGTTACACGGATAACCTTCATACAGAAAACACCCGTGGAAGCCTCAAGAAGATTCTGTTCATTTTTTATACAATGACTGCGTTCAGCAGAGAAAACTGCAGGCCTACTCTGTAACTCTTAACGCGAATTTCGTTATCATTATAACGTCGCTGCATCCCTATTTTGTAACTCTTAACGACACTGTCGATATCGTTATAGTATCGTTGCGCAGATATTTTATATGGTGAAAAAGCTGCGCAACGACACGTAACGATATCGACATTGTTAGAAGTTACAGAATAGGGCCCCTGCGCAGCGGCGTTGTAACGATAACGAAACTTGCGTTAAGAATTACAGAATAGACCTGCTGATCAGTGAGTGCTCAGTGATTCTTTAATATGATTAGTTCTTATCTTTACTTCTTCGCTGGATCTAAATGTAGGAACCAATTATGTTAAAAAATCACTGAGCGCTTAGTGGATAAATTTTTTTCACTAAACGCAGCCAATCAGTTTGAATCTCCTGTTGGTTAGTATTATAATCAGAATCTGGATTTCAGTGTCATTTTCTCCACTCCAAGCGGCGAAAAGCAATGCTAGTGTAACGGTCTAGCCGCTAGCATACCAAATGGGCATCGCATAGATACGGCAAAGAAATATATATATTATTTGTTAGATGTGTACAAAAAGCAGTCGTCTATGCCATTATATAACGGTCTAGCGTATTAAATGGGGCGTCATCGCACAGAGCAAAGAAGTATTGACTCATTTTATCTAACATATATATTATATACAAATAATATACATACGAATAATATATTTCTTTGTGCGATGATGTCCTATTTAGTATGTTAGACTATACCGTAGTGACGTAGAGCAGGTAGCTTCTCGTGACGCGCGCGCGCTGCTGGAGTGGGGAAACCGAGATCCGGACTTTGGTCATAATGTATGACATAGAGTGTGTTCCACTTGACGTTCGCAATACTCATGGAATCATTTCATCCTTGTTGTTTATTAAACGTTAAACAAGGATAAATAATGCTCGCAAGCGTTGTAAGCGCCAATTGGCACCCATAAGTGTTGTAATTTATAAGGGAGGGTCCCAATTGGACACATTGTTAATTGGCTAAAAATGACTTATGGAGCACAAGATCGTCTAAAAAATGAATAAAAAATGATTAAATTGTTATAAAAATATATTTTAATGAAAGATTATAGTCGACAAAAAGATAGATAAAAGGCGATAGAAGTCTATTCATCTTTATATCTAAAAGACATTATATGGACGATTTCTATGGATACTTTTTAGTTGTTTTTAACACTTCTTTTAATTTTTATATTTTGGCACATGTAACTTTTAATAATATTAGATCCCAAAATTTATTTTTACACAAAACTAAACAAAATTATATGACTCAAAATACGTCCCATTTAGGAATCCTACATTTCACACGTACAAAAACGGGGCAACGCTTGCCGTGTCCTATGCAGGATAGTGCAGGAGCTATTACTTTCATCAGTCCTTCGGAGAATTGTTTTCAAAAAATCTTTTATTAGTGTTCATTAGAATATGAGTATGCGCGCGCGCGCGCGCGCACGCACACACACACACACAAAATTGAACTACATATATTATTTCATATTATTTCAAGATTAAATTTGTGTGTGCTTATTCTTTCTTTTCTTTTAAGTTAATAATTAGGTTTTGTGTTTATAAAAATCTAGATTATAAATATCTTGTCATAACATTAATTATTATGGGAAATACAATTAAAATTGGGAATACCTACATGAAAAACTTGTTATGTTAAGAGTATTGTCTTGGATTAAAATTTACATCAAGAAACGCTTTAAAGCATTTGTAGCATCGCGTTAACCGTATTCTTAATTAAGCTAGTAATTTTGAAATTAATGACCTATTTTAAATTAATATCTATTAATAT